ATGCACTGAGTTGCCGCCATGTGATTGGCTGCTTAGAAATTAAGTGTTAACGAGCAGTTGGACAGGTGTACCTAATAAAGTGGCCGGTGAGTGTATGTCCTCCAGCAGTCCAAGCATCCCATAACCACAGAGATAGGAAAGTTTTAACCCTCTTAATAGATAGGGTGCTTAGCAGAAAGTTATGTTTAGACTAAACATGCTTTGGATCCAGATTAGCCCTCTGGAAGGTTACCCTGAACCTTCTGGCTGAGTGAATATTTATCCTCTACTGGACCCTTTCATTTCTTTCTGTGTTATTGCTTATTTTCAGATATCATTATATTTATTTGAAAGTTAAAGTTTTGTTTGTTTGTTTTCTGGGGTATTCATTTCTGCCACTTTTGGTCCGTCTTAAAAGGTTCAGAGTTTTTTTTTTTTGCCCCTCTGTTGGGACCTTGTTTGCAGGAGTGAAAAACATCCAAGCTGGCCCTGGTCTGGTGCACACAAAATGACTAGAGACCTGCCTTTTCATGGTCTGACCCTGGACCCACTCCAGTGCGGTCGCTTCTGGTGTGATTTCAAACTAGCCACAATCGACCTTACTACTGGAGATAACTTCTTTAGGGCTTTTAGTGATAGTGAACCAGCAGTCACACATGATGTTTTGCTCAGCAATGCAGCTGCTGCCAGCATGCTGGGGGTCAGGCCTGCACCGGATTATTATAAGATGTAGTTGAACTGCTAAAAAGTGCAATGCTGTACCAAACAAAACAGACCAACAGCCATTCCTGCTGTGATTTAAACCTTCTTTCAACTGTGAAGTAATGTTCCTGTAGTTTAAATGTCTTTCCACTAGAGGTGCTATTCTCTCCCCAGACTTTCAGCAGGGGGTGGAGCAACATCTTCTGGGGGCGGGGCTCTATGAGACAGACAGCCAGCTGAGCCCAATCACTGCAGAACTCTATGCCACTGGCTACACATGGGCCAATCACAATCAGCCAGATGAGACCAATGGGAATGAGGCGTGTTTGCTGTTAGCCAATCAGGAGAGAGGAGTGGCAGAAAGCAACAGCTCAGGGGGTAAAGTGCTTCTCAGATCAAGCAGGATGATCCTGTTTTTTTTATAACGCTAGAGAAGATGTTTGTGTTGTTTTTTACTCTGTTAAATTCACATGGCATATTGAAAAATAAATATTCTCTATATTAATATTAAGAAAAAGTAAAAATAAGTAACTCCTTTTTTTGACTTTTCATTAAGAGAGCAAATCTAAACATAAACTGCTATTTGAAAAGCTGGTTAATTGAACAGCTGCTAATTATATACTTGATTTCTAATGTGTAATTAAATTAAAAGTCAAGTAAAAAATGTCTAATATGTATTTATGAAGTAGTATCTTTTCATTGTTTTTGCAAGGAAAACAGTTGTTAATGGAAATTTCATTAAAATATAATCCAGAGATAATACTTTATCAAAAGATGTTCCCAATAACTGGACTATTTTCTCAGATTTTATTTTAGAAATCGTTTAAAGTTTTCAACCACTTCTTTTAGATTTCCTTTTTCAAATTTTACCTTTTAGACTCATAAATTTTATGTTTTCATATTTAATATTTTGAGATATTTTATTTTTGTCTTTATTTTAACATAGTAAATTCTTTTTAAGTTTTACAAACCGCATTCCTTTTAAACTGTGTTTTTTTTTTTTTACAAATCACATTTTCTTAGCCTCTCAGGCAGAGTTTCCTCTGGAGTGAGGATTTTTATTAGTCTGCTGGATGTTAGGAAATATGTAACATTTTAATGGTCAAGAGCAAATCTTTGTATTGGGCTTAAACTGAACAACACAATTCCTGACATTTATGACATAATTTACATTAACATTTGTGAAAAGCAAAAGACAAATTTGACAAAATTAACTGGAATATAGAAAATATGTAAAAACTTTTTTTTGGAAAAAAAAAAACATATGAAATATAAAACTGATAAAAATATTATACATATTTTCAAAGTGAATTTTCTGGATTTTTTTAAATTTAGATCAAACGAAATTCACTCAGATATAAATGAAATAAACAGCCTTAGAAAGACTGCCAAATTTATAAAGCTCCTTTAACATAACACTCAAAACATATAAAACCCTGAACATCAGTCAATGACAAATGTTTTAATCTAACAGTGTAATGTATATTGATTAAAGTTATTGAACATTGATATTCAGTTATTGCCAAATTAAATCAAACTTATCAATATTTCCTCTGCTCAGTTTCATTGAATTGATCTCCAAATAAAATGAAGATTCCATGAAATAATGTTTAATGATTCATTTAATAAACACATTAAAGCACAGCTTTAGCAAATATTCAGATTTTAATCCATTTCTATTCTCTATAGTTTGTTTTTAATTCAGTTTGTCCTTCAGTTTCCCTCTCTTGGTTCAGTTTATCCAAATCAGAGGTTATTCTTAGTTTCTTTGCATAAAGATGGATTTAACTGATCATTTTTGGTCTCTAACTGTTTCTTTCTGAATTGCGAGTGAAAAGCATTCAGTTTTAATTGCTTAATAGTTTCACGTTCCACCAATGAGCCAACATGAATAATTGAAAAAGAAATTTTTCAAAAGCAGCACAAATAATCCCTAAAAGCTAATTTTCCTGCCAAAGCTGTGATGTTGCTTCTGTGTTTAGTCTCCTAGCATTCAGATTGGTCCTAATAAAACCCTCCCACTGCTACTAACTCTGTCTCTTCCTCTCGGCCCCCCCCTCCTGTGGCGTTGCATGCTTCCCTCTCCTCCAACCATCTTCTCAGATCTATCCAGCTCCAACAGTAAGGAGGCACCGAGCCCTGACTCCATCTCCCGATAGCTGCTTCTCCTCTAACATCACCGCTCTCCTTTTTGTGTGTCGTTGATCAACTGTTCTCCTGTCATGCTCTGCTTCTCTAATACGCAGCACTAAAAAACTATTTTAAATGTTTTTGTCTGATTAGGTCAGTTTGAATTTTTAAAATGTGGCTATGAATAAATACATATAAAGGTAAAACAGGAGTCTGAGTGGTTTCTGTGTTTTCTAACAGTAAGGCAAGCCAACATTTGTAGATGTTCCATAAAAGTTTAAAAAACAATCCACTGGACTTGGTTTCCAAGGTTTGAAGACGTTTCGCTTCACCTCCAGGAAGCTTCCTCAATTCAAAATTCCTGGAGGGGAAGCAAAACGTCTTCAAACCTTGGAAACCAAGTCCAGTGGATTGATTTTTAAACTTTTACGGAATGACTATGAAATGGATGACTGAGAATCTTCATCAGCAACATGTATAGACTAACAGTAGAGATTGTGTTCTTGGGATGGTACTCATCATTCATCTTCCTCCAAACATGGTTAATAGAACAAGTTCTAATTTGGTCTCATCGGACCACATGACTTTCTCCTATGACTCCCCTGGATCATCCAAATGGTCATTGGCAAACTTAAGCCCTAAGACTTTCCTTTTGCGTACACAGAGTGTACGCAAAAGGAAAGTTGTTTAGTACAGCTTTTCAGACAGTAAATGAATATTTCCATACCATAAAGTGCAGCAGTGATCAAATGTAAATACTGTGGGAGAGAAAACATGGTGCAAAAAAACGCATTGACATGGAGGTTCAGAGCATTAATATATGTGGTGCAAATATGCAGTATTTTTGGTTTGGTGTT